TATCCGAAAACGCGGAACCCTACCGATATGGCAGCGCAGAGCCACTTTAGGAGTGACTTAGAGTATATGCTTGGCCCACGGAGCGGAGTACCGCAACGCTGCTCCCAGGGCGGCCACGTTGGACCCAAGCCGCAATGCGGGAAGCGACCGTCGCTTTTGCAGGAGATCACGGAGGCGTGGATGGCGTTAAAGCCGCTTAATACTTCTTTTTACGAGTATACGACAACCAATACAAATGACAAAGCACATTCCGCTGGAACAAAATGGCCTCGTTTAGTTCATTCTTCTGTAGTGCGCCGATATCTGCTTCCTAAAGCTTGCACCGTCATGCAGGCGGCGCTTCAAAGAATGTCGCTCCTTGTAGGAAGCTCCAGGAACTTTCGATGGCGTGTCTGAGAGGCGGCGAGCTGCGGCGCGTGTGCTTCGTCGTCTTGTCATTTGCCTCCGGTTTCTGCCCTCGGCAGAGCGTGGCCGACGAAAACGTCTTCCCTTCGGAAGCCGTAGCCACGAGCAACGCTAACGCAAGCAGCGCCATCGTCCTATGTGTCATCTGCTTCACGGGTGAAGAACATCTGACCGGCTAAACATATTGTCAAGCTCTTGATGAATAGGTGGGTTCCATAAAATGACGACAGATTCACCATAATGGTGTCGCTATACTCCGTCTCATCCCACGATGGACCCAATGCTACAGGCCGCCGGGTTCAATCACGAGCCTCTTAGAAAGTACGTGGAATAATTGCTTCATCGTACGTATCAGTGCGCCAAGACGCGTCATGCGGAGGAGAGTTTTTCGTCTGCTTATCGAGACCTCACGGCGGCTCCGTGGGCTCGCTACTACTGAAGACTACTAAAGGGATTAAATACTGTGTGGAAGCGATGGGGCGGAAAGAACCCGGGATCAGTACCCGTGGCCATTAAGAAATTAAGATAGTCGGATAGAGTGTTCGACACGGGAGCATATGTACGGACCACATGCATGCGGAAGGGAGATACGGGCCCAAACAAGTACGCAAAGATTGGATTGGACCGTTATGGCTAAAGCGAAACGACTTTATGTCAATGTTGCATGCGCGCCCTCCAACTTCTCCAAACAGTTGACATGTTTATGAAATATGGCAAAAATGTTTATGAAGCTAAATAGCATATACCTATACTTCACCACTCTAAAATAGCGCAACAGAGAGCCATATGCGCAAGATTAGTGCTCTTCGTACACTGCGTAAGGAAATTTCTCTCGTGCACTCTTTTGCAATGCGGTGCAAGCTGTTCTGCGGTAGTACTCCGCCCGCCAGCCTTCGGGCCCATGTCCATCGTAAGCTGAGAGGTCCGAGCACAGCTCGAGGGTTCCCGCGGCTGCACGACACGCGCGGCCCTTTTTCGGCGCAAGCTCACTTCTCTCTTTCTATCCTCTGTTTCACGATAACTTGGCTAGCTGTGGAGCCCGCGGGCACCGCGGCCTAACAAGAGCACCGGAGCAAAGCACCTGACAACCTTCTACGGAATCGCGGCACAGGAAGGACGGGGAAGCTGCGGGGCCTCATTACCACCACAGCAACAGCGCCGTCCGCGACAGAAAGTAGTTATATGCTGAGTTCACTATCGAGGTTATATCAAACCTACGTCCCATCTCTATCCGCTCTTTGGTCCCCTCGTAGTAGCGTTGGCGCAGTGGCCGTTGGCACCGTTGCCGTCGCTTCTTTGTTTCCGCTCGCTGCTCCGTCGGTTCAAACGGGAGGCTGCTCCAAGCAGGTCGGAAACTTTCCTCGCTTCCTTTCTGGAGACCGTTGGGGCCACGCAGCTAGGGTTTCAGTCGGCCCATGTGGACGACATGAGAAGCTTTGGAGCGGTTGTCTTGGGGGCTTCTAGCTGCTTCCTCACGGAGGAAACCCCCGGGGCGAATCCGGGGTCCCTCATCGCCCTTTTTTGACACAAGTCACAAATTCACGCGCCACGGGCGGATTAAAACGCGCGCCAGTGTTCCTCAGGTATTGACGCTTTACAGCAGCTGTGCATGGGCGCCGCCATAACTGACCTTCAGTTTTTGTTCCCTCTTATTCCGCTCGCTTCACTTCATCATTACCACAGCAGGACAGGTTATTGCCCTTTTAGATGCTACTGTGTTCTTGTGCCCAGCATAGGCCCTTGTGAAGACCCGTCAACGCCCGCTTCAGTGGCTCGGCATCTCGGTAAGACAAGAGAAGGGCGGCTATGGCGGCTCATTCTGGCGCGTGTGTAAAGCGTCTATACACAGATGCCGCCTCGAGAGATTTAAAAACTTTTAGCTCCACACCAAGCGGTGTTGGGGGTTTGTATCCGCCGCCGAAACTAGCCTCCTTCTGTTTACCACCTAATATTTATCGTGAATCCCGCCCATCGTGTCGCCTTTTAATGTGCCGCCCCACAGAGTCGCCGGCGTGAACGAGGGGGTTCGGATGGGTTAACACGCGCCCCAGTGAGCTTCTCTGTTTACCGCCAAACATACACCGTTGAGCTCTACCACTTCTGTTGCCTTGTAATCTGTCGCCGGGAAGTGCCGTGAGCAAAGGGGGGTTAACACGGGCCCCTGTGGTACAACACCCCGCCGTCCACCACTGCACCTTCAAAAAGGGCAACGCCGCCGCTGACCTCAGTGAGAGCTGTCTTCTTGTCTCCAACAACAAACAAGCGCGAAAGGGTCGTTGTCGCCTCCCGCTTGCGAAAGAGCGGGAAGTTCAAATAGACCAATCAGGGCCCCGGATTTGCTCCGTGGTTTTAGTCCCTGAGCAAACATCAATACGCTTCCCGGGGCGGAATGACGGGGGTCACTTCGTAGTTCGTCGGGAACAGCTGGCGACAGATGCGAAAGGGGCCTCGGAATTGTTTTTGTAACTTTTCGCATCTTCCGGGCTTGCGAGAGGGTGTCCAAAGAAGACCCTTATCACCATGGTGCTCGACGTGACGAATAAGTTGTTGCTGCTGCCATTCTAATATTCGAATGAGGGAAAGTTGCCGAACTTGGTAGAGGATGGCTCGGGTGTAAGCATCCAGAGAAGAGTCGTCTATGTATGGCAGAAGCGTGTCCATGGTGGACAACGGATCGCCTGCATGCAAGACGTGAAACGGAGAATAAGCGGTGCTGGCTTGACGACTGGTATTATAAGCGTATGTAACGTATGGCGAAATTAAATACCAGTTGTCTCGGTCATCTGTGATATACAGGCCTTTAGTCCTTAGCGTAGGAGATTAGCTCATTCTACGTTAAACTGCTGCCAGAAAAAAAAAATTCTTTCTACAAAAAAAAAAAAAAAAAAAGCGACATATTGGTCACGTGATCAAACTACGGAGTTTGGGTAAATAGTGTGGTTTTACTCCAGCAGAAGGCGCTACAGCACCCAGAATCGAAAAACAAAAGCCCGATGACGATGATGACGGTCACGTGGTTCGCATTGCCCACCTCCGCAAAGTGCCTCCCGCGGGGCGGGATCGGCCGCGGGTGCGCCGCTGCCGGCTTCTCGTAGCGATTTTTCTGCGGCGGGTCGCGTCTCTCACGTCGCAAATGTATTTCGGTATTTTGTGCGCAGAAGTTTTGGCGTGATAACGCGAGAATGGGCCCGCTCTGCCGACGACTGTTCCCCGCGCTTGGTCAAGCCGAGCGTGGTGACAGGCGCCCGTCGATAGCGCAGGAAGGTTTCTTGGCCGCTTCGCAAACTCGCGGTGGGCTGAGCTTTCCCGAGGGAGGCATGCTGCGCTCAGCACGCGCTGCCGCACTCCGTCTGCTCCTCTGCTGGCGTTGTTCAACGAAGGATGCCGATCTGAAAGGTCAGCTTCCGAGGAGCATTCACGCGTCTAGGAAATGTGTGCTGTTTATGTCGAGTGTAGGAGTTGGCGATCAGTCGCGCGGTAAATCAGGTAAGCATTAGGATTGCCTCGTCCTGTCGCCCATTGAGGCGGACAAAGTCCCAGTATCGTGCCCTGCCCTTCGAGTTTCGACGACAGGAAGAAAAAAGGTCCGCCTTCTTGGTGCCAAGTAGTGGAGGCACTTTTGCCGCCTCGCGACGATGTGGTTCCGCTCCCTCGGCAGCTTGCTTGGCGCCTGAAACCGATCCCCGTAGCGGATGTCGCCACGTCGCGGAGGACACGACGCGCTATTTTCTCCGCAGCAGAGGCACTTGTAGCGGCCGCATTACACGCGTCCTCTCCCTCCTTCGCCCGTATTCCGAATACACCCATGCTTGTCGTCTTGCCGTACGAACCAGGACGAAAAATCCCCCTACGTATTTCGTGCGCCATAACAGGTGTTGGGGAATTGTAGTAGACCGTTTCCGCAGCCCGCTAAGCACCCGGATAGCGCTCCGTAATCCGCCACGAGACCTTGAACTATACAGACAATGCTGGTGGCGCGCATGCGCAGCTGCGGCGTTTTCTTCGGGGATAACGTAGCGGAGGAGAAAAACGGTCTACTACAATTCCCTATTATTTTACGCGTTCTAGCGTACCACTCCGGAATACGTGTCGGTTTCGACCGCACTTTGTCTTCGTGTGCGGCGGAGCACAGGATTCGTGTCCAATATCAGCGGTCGAAAAGTTAGCGGAGCTAACCCTTATATATAACGAATTTAGAAGCAATAACCCAAGGTCGCGAAGCTATGTAAGAAGAAATTGACCTCTACCTCAAATGAAATGGAAATCGAGTCCCCTGGTAACTGTAACTATTAAAAAAAAAAAAAAGCCACCTGGTTTTGGAAAGGTCCCGGGATGGAAGAAATTTTTCAGTCACCACCATTCGTCTAGAGGGACCGTGTCACGATTATTTTCGGGTGAAAGTCATTTTATTTTATTTTCTGGGAGGGGGGGGGGGGGGCAGTTACTCGTTACCGTAAGAGGATTCTATTAGGCAACGAAGCAACGAGCGCAACGTCTCCGGGTAAAGAAACTCGATGGCTCACGAGCCACGGCTTTCCTGGCGGCTCTGCGAGATCTAAAGCGTGCCTAGAAAGAGAGGCGATCCCTTCACTCACTTCATGTAGTAGAGACGGCCTTCCGGGTCCACGTGGGCCGTGCATCCCCGTCGAAGCCTTAGGTTGAGCTGCGCCAGGTAGGCGGCGTTGGCGTCCGCAGCGCCCCCTCCGCCGCCGTCCTCGACATCCACCATCATGATGTCAGGGCACCATTCGACGCACCGGCGCAACAACACGCAAACACCATGAAACTCGGACCGTGGCGGCACGGCCAAAGCCCTCACCCACAAACAACACTGTCGACGACGACGCCACAAACAGCACGGAAAGAAAAGAAAAAACTCAGTCGCGCACTTGAAACAGACGGATGAGGCGGAGTAACGCTGATCAGGCACAGAAGGGAGACGACACTGCTTTCACTCTGGCCGCATCTGTCGCGCTGTCGTGTCTCGTGGAACCGTGCACCGCCTCACCGTCGGTTGCTGCGAGAAACGAAAAGAACAGAATCACGCAAAAGACCCACAAGGTAACAAGACTCATCTCGCCACCTTAGACCCTTTTTCACAATTATCTTTTTTCCTGGTAAGCATGAAAATACTACGCAGTAGTTGGCTGGTCCAACGTTCACTTACAGGCAACTGTATGTGCAGGGAGTTCCCGAGAAAACAGATCCATGTTTTCGGAGGAAATTAACTATGCATCCCAGAAAGCTCAAACTCCGTGAGAATGGGACGCTAGCGGCTGGAATAGAACGCGATAATTAGAGAACGAGACCCGAATAAAAAAATAATTTAGAAAAAACAAAAGTTATCTATAGGAGCCGACGTCCGCCTAAGCCTAATATCGTCAAATAAGAAATGACATTTTGGGACGCTTGTGAGATTCATATCATTAAAAAAAAAAAAAAGAAACGCTTGTCAACAACAAAGACAATGTTGATAGAACTGGACAGCGTGTTGGTTAAACATCTTGGTATCCGAACGCAAAAGGAGACAAGGGACATGCCAGACACGGTCCGTGTCTGACACGTTTTTCTGTGTCCCTTGTCTCCTTTTGCGGTCGCATACCAAGAAAGAGAATATTGTCTAAAACTTGCTGACAAGCTCTTTTTACACTGAAATAGACGCTACGGGCGTCCACAATGACATTTCTCGTTTTGATCCTACAAGGCTTAGGTGACGTCGTTTCCTTTTTCGCAATTATCTTTTGATCCAGGCAACACCTTGGTTTCAAACTTTCGTATTACATCCTAACAGCCAGCGCCACATTCTCACGCAGTTTGAGCTTTCCGCGATGCATAGGTAATTTGCCCGGGTCAAAAAACACGGTTCTCTTTTCTCGGGAACAAAGAGCCTATTTCGTTCCGTTCGATGTTCCGCCACTTATTCATTTATTTTACCCCTAGGGCGTAAGCAATACAGAGCGGGTAAGCGTAAATTGAAAGAGCAAGTATAACGCGCAACAAACATCTTCATGGAGTTTTCTTTTCAAGGTTTCAGGAGTATGTGAAACAATGTATACTCAAAGTGTTCTATTCGACCTAGGAACGCAGTTTGCTGACTCCAAAATAGGAATAAATAAACCGATTTGAGCGTTTGGTTTACGAATGTGAGATGCCCATATTTCTATCCACGTTCATGGCGGTATAACTGACGCGGCGTTGGCTTTCTTTGGGTGACGCCGAATATTCAGCACCATTACTTGGTTGTCTACACTCTAAGAAAAATGACGGCCTAGGAGGACTAACGCCTCTGAACGCCCAGTTGCTTCCCGAAAAGACCATCTGGTTCAAGCTAGGTACCGTGCGCAAAAGCGAGGGCTAACTGCGCTCGACTGGCACTAACCGAGAGGCGTGCGCAGCAAAAGCAGCCCTTAGTGCTCTTCAAACAGGGTGCATCTGTATGCTTTAGTTCCCGAAAGCAAACGAAATGCTCGCCGCGGAGAGAGCTCACATTCCACTTGTCATGGGGATCGGCTCTACTCTGCCCAGCAGCGTCCGAAAGTGTTAACTAAACTCAGACGAAACTAGGAAAGTTTTTTTTTAATGTGCAACGATCGTTCAGTCATTAAGCTTCGCGCGTTGTGTGAATGCGAGTTAACCAATGTGTTGACATGTTACAAGTCCCATTGACGTAATTTACCCTCGCGCAAACATATAAGCGTTTATCCGTTCTAAATACTAACACTTCTTTTCCGTCAAATGAGACAACTTTAAGAGTGTGTAGAAGACGCGCTTTCAGCACCGGAGTCTCGCAGTCACAGTAGATCGTCACCTCACTCGCTAAACCTGAGTTGCTGAGAACAAATCAAGCTCTGCGTCTCCCCGCGACCAACCTTTCTGGATAGTCCTATGTCCAACTCAAAATCCGCAACGACACTCTTGAAGCATGGCACGCTTCGCCCAAAAAGCACATTCAGGGGTAGGATTCTGAGTCATGCCATCGTCGTCGCTGTTTCACATAACATTACAGATCAGCAACGAAGAACGAACTCAATGCGCCCACAACGTCAGCCATTACAACACCGTGCCCGTGGCAAAACGGATGCGACGAGAAAAAAAAAAAAAAAAAAAGCACCCGAGAAAATGACAATCGTACGTGTGTATTTTGATCCTGATGGCTGTATTTTTTGTTATAAACGGCCCACTCTGGCAAGCGCGCGGAGAGCAGCGAGCGGAGAGCACGTCACATCCGGCGCAATCGTGACGTAGTCTGTCTCGGGAAGAGCAAAGCTGCGGCGAGGCTGACGTCGTCAGGATGCCCTAGCCGTTCCAGGCACCGAAGCGATCGGGCCACCGCAACTAATCGCAAAGCTGCTTTTGTGTGAATTTTCAGTGACGGGCTAATCTACTCTAATCTTGTAGAGGGAGACATCTGGGACACACAAAAGAGAGTCCCATTGAATGGGGAGTTCCTCCTTCCCCTCGGCCCTAGAGCTGTTGGGATGACGTCAGGTTCAAAGCATGTATAGTTCGAGGCAACGTTATTAGATTAGCCCAGTTACGGAACTGGTCATGGACGCCGCTTGCACGAGCAGCACCCTCACTCACCACGACTCGCCTCCCGTCGTTCGATGCGCCGGACGGCTGCACTGCACTGTTTTACATTTGCATGGAATTTGCACGTTTCGCAGCACAGCCGCCCAGACTTGTACGTAATCCGTTACAAGTAACGAAATTACTTGTAATCCCTTACATTAATCGCTAATTTAGTAACGGAATAATTATATTTTCTAAAGTAATTTTAAAGTAATTCCCTTACATTTTTGAAGTAACGAATTCCTTGTAATCCGTTACATTTTTTTGTCAGAACCAACCCCCCCCCCCCCCCCCCCCCCCAATCTAAATAAAGTGTTTTTTTTTTAATTTTTGTAAAGTTGAGTGCAGTGACACTGTCACGCGAATCGACCAGCCCAAAAGGAGGCTTGGCACTCTTCAGTTCCGCAAAGCCTTTTTTTGCAACACCAAGCCCCTGAATCTACCTTTTTTTAGACCCTAACATCAATGTAAAAAAATCCAAATAAACAATTATTCAAAAAAAAAGGGGGGGGGGGGGGCAAGTTATTTCCGCTTTCTTTAGTCCCTCTGTTTTTTCTTTGCGATCGAAGACGGGGAGCGGAGGACACCAAGTGACTGTGCGCCCTTCGAGAAGCTCGAGGCGATAAGTGCACTGAAAAGGATTAACAATGTCCTTCTCGGTTATAGTGACAACGACCATTTTCATAATGTCACAACACGAGACAACGCTCCGTTTGCCCTACCCTTTTTCTGAGTCAGCTTTTTGCGAGCACTTAGGAAATGGTAATAGTCTTCCTTTCTCCTTCTTCCTATTTTGCCCCAGCAGGACGCATCTTATCTCAAGCAGATATTTTTACAAATAAGACATAATGGTGGCTGACGTAGACTTGATATTCTGGGCCATATCTGGGCTTGACGAGCGAGTGAAATTCGTGAGTATTTTACTCTCAGTATTTCATAGCGCGGCTTACTTAATACTCTGCCCTTCGCTACCCGTGGCATCAGCCTATCTGGAGAACACCGGAGTAAACTGCAGTCGGTCCATTCTCCGTGCGTTTTTGAACGGCACCAAGAAAGGTACACACGGCAAACGTGCATTTACATTTCATTGTTTTAACCGACGTTCTAATTAATTGTTGTTATGAGTGTCCTTCTTTTTCTTTTATTACTTATATTTATATACTGGAAAATATTTTTATTCACCAACGTCTCAAGTGAGGCTCGAACTGTTTAGAACCAAAGGAAGAAGAATATCGAGCCAACCCTTATCTATTATTTAATTATCACCTTAATGTTTTGCTATTGATGACTTCTACAGCTTCGCGATTCAGACAATGAAGAATTTTAATAAATCGGTCCAATGACTTCGCCGCCGTCTTTGCGTATGCATCATATCGTTATCGGGTACCGTTGTCGCGGGTATCGGAGGTATCGGAACGATCTACTAAATCTCTCGAATAGCAGGCAACGGCCGCAACGACGGAGCGTTGCTCTACCTTCAAGGTAGATAGTGCTTCCTTTGCTTCGCTGAAAAAGCTCAATGCAGAGCATGAATCATCCGTGAGGAGCAATATGGCACTCCCATCCAGTGCCTCAGCTCAAATGGTGTTCAGAGTAGCAGTCGACATATCGAGTAAGAAATAACGCAAAATGTCTGACGAGACTTTCGAAAGCCAGCTGTTGCTCAAAATACTCAAGATCATTAAATAGAACAGGTGTCAACAATAAGAACTTGAATAACCCTCTTCCCTTTGTTTCTTACTTGAGGACAACAATGTAAAAAAGTAACGCCACAAAAGTAACGGATTACTTTTTGGGGTAACGGTCAGTTACTTTCATAGGAGGGTAATTGTAATTGTAATAAATTACAATTGAGCCTTGAGTAATTGTAAATGTAATTCCTTACTATTCTTCAGTAACGTGTACAAGTCTGCAGCCGCCTATATGGCATTCCACCGTGTTCTATGGAACCCATAGTTAGGAAACGACAATCTAGATGGCGCTACAAACCACGGCAGGCGAACTTAAGTGAGTTACGAGAAGAACCCCCTTCCGCCGGAGTTCCACAACATGAGGTAATCTACTAACGTTGGTTCTAGGCGAGACTGTCATCGTCGCTACCTGTGAAGGTTCCTAGACGTGCATTAAAAACAAGGCTTTAGCGACATCCACCAGTAACTAATCGTTTAATTTGTTTTCAAATTCCTTTTCGTGCCTTTTTTAACGAGATACTGATGTGTCCGATGTGATACTGCTCCTTTGAGCGCGAATAGACAACACAAATAAGCGCCGAAATTTTGTTATAGTATTCCTTTAAGGTGAAACAGAATACAGTACTCGTACGGCCCCGGATGAATTGCTCATTTAAAGGGGCCCTGCAATCATATTTAAGCAACTACCTTTTTTGCGGTTTCCACATCTCTTGGGGTCCGGGCAAGCCAGCGGGCACGGAGAGAGTAACTAAAT